AGAAAGAAAGAGAAAGAAAGAAAACTTTACAATAAAAGCAAATCTAAGGTAAAATCTGTTCTTAAAAAACTGAAAGAATGTCCAACCAGGCATGGTGGTGCATGCATATAATCCCAGCACTTGGGAGGCTGAGGCAGTAGGATCACTGTGAGTTCAAGGCCTACATAGTATTTCAAAAAAAAAGGTCTATTTTTTAGAAACCCAATCTTTTCTGGTTATTTTTTGAATGATTAATTGTGCTGTGTTCCTACTTTCTTGGACTTAGCGCAAGCATTGACTCCTGTCTTCAGACAGAGACAAAAGAATCAAGATGTGCCTACACCCAGAAACAGGGAAACCACCTGCTGACCACAGCCTCAATCACTGACTGTCAGCCCTGCTGAGCACTGTTCTTTGTGCTGGTGTTTGACTCGCCCTGAGATGAAAGTATTAGGGTGAGTAGGAAATGGATGCAAATAGATCTTGGTACAAATTCACACTCTGCTTCCTGAGCCCATGTTTGTTACATAATCGCACAAAGCCTCAGTTTCCAAATGTGTTAAATGCATGCTGCTTACAGGCGTGAGGAAAAGAAAATGTGCCCAGGGTGGGCTTATAAATCCATGCTCTGTGAATGCATAAATGATCTGGGCATTCGCTGGTGGGAAAGAGAACTTAACTCATATAGCACACTAGTCAAACAGAGGACTGCTCCCCATGTACATCTACCTGCTCAGGAAAAGGGACTGGAGTGTATGCATCATCTGAATGGAGATATTGTATGGCTGTGTAATGCTAACACCTCTGAAAAAGTGATTAGATGGTGTCTGGCAAGAAATGATGTAACATACTCAAAAAGCTTTAACTTGCTCAATTATGTAGTCTGCTCTGTTTATTTGAAAGTTGATTCTTCCTGCCTACCATGAACTATATTTCCAATATTAAGAGTACATTAAGAGTCTGTTTCTAAGACAAGAAAATCTGTCCACTTTCCATGCAACTGGACTTCCAATACTGCGGATTGCACTCAGGGCCTTATGTTTACTAGGCAGGAGCAGCACCACTGAGCTGCTTCCTGGCCCCTTAAAAAATTATATTAATTTGTGTAAGTATTTGGAATTAAAATTTTACAAGCCCACTCCATTTAAGTCCAACTCCATTTCACATTTATAGAAAAGACTTTTATAGAGTTCTGGTTCTTGTGTCCTGTTTAACTAGTTAAAACACACATTCTGCATTTGTTGATACTATCTACAAGGATATGGCTTACCACTAACAGGTCTGAATTCAAAACCCCATTCTACCACTTACCCTTGGGCAAATTATTTAACTTTATTAAGATTCCATTTATTCAGCAGTAAAATGTTGGTCAGAAATCATAGCACCTAACCTTGTGGGGCTTTTGTGAATACTAAGTCATCTAAAGCACTTAGCACAGTTCTAGCAGAATTAATGAAGTTATGGTCATTATACAGCCCAAGATGCTTTCCCTGTAAGAGACTAGTATGTAGGAAGGCTTACTGTTGCTATTTTGGTTTATTAATTAAACTGTTTATATCTATCTCTCTGCAAAAAGCTTTTTTTAGATAGTTTACAGCAAGAAAAGGGAAGAAGATCAATAAAATTACAAGGCAGGCACAAGCAGAAAGAGGTTCATAGGCAGACTCAGCAGAAGGTCTGAGGCAGTCGCCTGAAACTAATTGTGACACCAAAGAGGGGCTTAGGCAATAAGCTCATGTGATCATGAGCCTTTGTAAAATTTATCTACATTTGGCTAAGACTGCTGTCTCTTTCTACTGCAGTGTTCCTTCCATAACACTTGGCTAAAGTCAAACAATGTTGGAATAACCATGGGTATTTTAAGGAAGCTAACATAGGGAGATGTGTAGTTTGGGTTTAACAGAATATTATTTATGTGATTTGCAATCAATTCTGTAATTAAATTATTGTTAATGTTAAGAATGGGTCCCAGAATATTCCTACCTCTCCTGCCTAATTCTCAATACTTGTTCATTTGGCAGGTGATCCAAAGGTGTACGATCAAAGGATCATGTTTTGATCTAATGTACACTTGCAACTGGTACTAGAAACATACAGGTAGTAAACAGAAAAATAGAGCTTGAAACGCATCAAGCAGTAGAAAAATACCAAGTTGTTTTTCTGAATACTGTGGTGTTTGTACTATTTGTTAACTTTTAAAGTCTGAAGTTTGCTGCCAGGGATTTAGCTCAGTGGTGCCACCACCTTCCTTGTAAGTGCAAGGACCCAAGTTCAATCCATGGTACACCCCCCCAAAAAAAATCTGAAATTTATGTGATTATGTGAGGCCTAAATAAAAATTTTGTTTTTGCTTTTTTTTGCTTTGCTTTGTTTCTGTGGTACTGAAGCTTGAACCTAAGTCCTACATTCTCAGCCCTTTTTTTTTTTTCTTTTTCAGACAGGATCTGACTAAGTTACTCAGGTTGGGCTTAGACTTGCAATCCTCCTGCCTCAGCCTGTCAGACTGTAGGATTACAGGCATGTGCTACCATGCCCAGTATATTCTTTTTCTTTAAAAAAAAAAAAAAAGCCCTTAAATTTTTATTTAGGCCTCACATAATCTGCATCCACTGTTGTTCAAACATCAAATTCAGACCTGTTTCCTACTAATCAGAGTAATAAGGAAACACAGCATGTTACATAGTTTTTTATAGAAAAGAGAAAATTAACAAAATTATGAGAAAACTTATCAAATATAAGATATTACTCCTATGATGAGATCACACACATTACAATGGTTTATATGAAGTTCAAGAAGAGAAACAGGGGCCAGGGATTTAGCTGAGTGGTTCTGCTGCCTCCCTTGCAAGGCCTGAGTTTGATCCCCAGTACCAAAAACAAAAAGAAGAAGAGAAACAAAAACCCAACCCATAAGAAGCACTTACTGTGAATCAAATGCTACTTCAAGCACACAAGACTTCCTGCCCCAATGCCTATGTTCTTAACCATTGGGTTATGTTTTCCACTCAAGAAGAGGGAAGAGAGAACAAGACAGCCAGCCCTCTTTGATTCAAACATTGAAACACTGACCTTGAAGATA